GACAGTTTATTTTTTGCCAGTAGTGCAATGGTCGTTTCGGTCGTGCAGACACATCACCGGGTGATGTGTGCCGCCCAGTCAGACTCAGTGAACCGTAAAGTCCTGCAAGCCCCGCCCCGCCCGGCCTCACCCCGCCCCGGCCCGCCCCGCCGTTTCAGCCCACCGTTCTAGTCCCGGACGGACCCCACAGTGCTGGTGCCAAATATGTATTGGCAGAGAAAAATCGTGGTTTCCTCAGACAGGTTTTCTGTATTCTGTTTTTTTTACTGCGAGTGCGGCCTGCACCACTAGAAGCTTGCAAAACTTTCAAATCTTTTTTATTTTTTTGCTTACAAAGTCAGAAGTTTACCAACGCTCCGATAGGTATTATCTCAACTTTTGCCCCACACTTCCCTGGGGGGGCTCGACTGGTGTCGCACTTTAATTTGTCGAGTGATTGGTTGATCTTGTCCCCCCCGACCCGACCCGACGCGTGGCGCGTGCCCCATGGCCCCTCTCCTAATGGGAGTTTTGATCCGCTCCTGTCCACTTCCTGCCACTCCCCGCCACCCCCCGCCACTCCCCGCCACTCCACGCCGCGGGCCCGGCACTGACAAGGCGACTAGCGGCCTTAATGCAAGCCGTGCAACGTTGACTACATGACATCTGCGGGCGCGGGGGCCCAGCGCGGCGGCCCGGCGCGGCGCGGCGCGGCTCGGTGCGGCTGTCCACATTTTTCGGAAACGGGCAACAAGCGGCTGCTCTCCTAATATTTCGATGATTTCTCATTTCCATGCGGGTGATGTGGGGGGTGCCTCTGGGTCGGGTGCCTCGTCAGGAGAGCTCTGTTGTCCAAGCCCCGGTCGTTAACAGCATCTCGACACGCACTTCGCGTGCACTGCCGCCGCCGACATGACCGGGTGGGCGGTTTTCTAGAGTAGAAGCCGGTTCACGCCGCCACTCTGCGCGCTCTTTTGGGGTCGAGCCTCGAGTTGAGCTGGCCGACGGTCGGGCGGGTGGCCTACTCGCGACGGGTGTCAGTGTGTCGGACCTAGCAGCCAATGGTCTGTGACGGGCTGCAAGGCACGCAGTCTGCCCACTCGCCTTCATGGAGAGCAGTACAGCAGCAGTGATATACGGCAGACCTTGGGATAGACCTAGGACAGATCTGCAGCCTGCAGCAGACCTGCAGCAGACCTGCAGCAGACCTGCAGCAGACCTGCAGCAGACCTGCAGCAGAACTATAGCTGATCCCAGACCCGCGGCCACCACCCCTTGCTCTCTGATCCTACCGCGGGAACGCCCGAAGGGAAGTGGCTGCTTGCCGGCAGACGGCGCCCGTCTCCTTCTTCCGTTTCGTTGATGAAAACGTCTGGTGTTCCTCGTTTTCGTTTTGCCCGCCCCGCGGAATTGTTATTGATGATGGCTGCTGCGTTGTCGCTGTGGGGAGACCCAGACCCGTAGTGCGGAAAGCTAAGGCACCACACGCCCAGAATGTTTCAATTTCGGTCGTGAAAATAATAGAAATGGTCACAAAGCGATGGTGTCAGGCGGGAGGCACGCTGGAGGCGTGGCGGTGCGTTGAAGGAGGGGGTCCCTCTAGAGCTCGAGAGTGGACTGGACTCATCAAGGCGGCTGCGGCCTGCGGCGCGGCGACACTTTTGGGCAGCGAGCTGAACAACCAACTGCATATATGGGCACTAGGTGCACCGATGCGAGCCCCGGGTACACCGCCCGCATCTGCCATCTCGAAAAACCCACGAACGGGGCGTTTTGTTCGACGTTATAGGAAGTCACTTCAGAGTGAAGCTGCGCGGGCCAATGGAACCATCTGAACGGCGTCCCCATCTCGTCAAGACCCCCCCTTTCCCCTTTCCCCTTGTCCAGTCCATGGCTGCCTAGACGTTGTATGCTTATGCTGGACGGGAAGCGGAATCCTCGAAGCAATTTTCCCAAGCGGGGTCTGGTTTGTCCAATGGGCCTGGCGCGGGTCGGCCCGCGCCGCCACGCCACGCCACGCCACGCCACGCCCCCACGCAGCGCGTCGCAGCGCCGCCACCACCGCGGATATCCACACATTTTCGCGTTAGCGTCGCGGCGAAGAGCTGCTGGATGAATGAATAAGTAGACGCGGGTCCAGAGAGTGTCGTGTGAGGGGGGGGGGGGCACGGCGCAGAGGGAAATGCAGAGAGCTTTCTTTCACTGGGAAAGCTGATCAGGCTTCGGTCACATATTTTATTCAATTAGGAAAAATCCCCCCCCCCTTCAAAAAACACACAAGAGGCTTCTAGTATATTCTGGCAGATTACTTCGTAATGCTTTTTTGTTCCATGTAGAGGAATACTGTTGTGGCAAACGTTTTTCCTAATAGAGAGCACGAAGAAAAGTGACTCATTGTTTGTCACATTAACGTCGTTTTATCATTTCCACGCCAACAACGAGTGCGTCCTCCCGCCCGCAGGGCAGCACCGTGTTCTCGTGGGCCGACGGGCAGCTGACCGCCGAGGACCCGTACAAGGGCCGCGTGTCCCCGGCGCACGAGAGCGCACCCTCGCCGACGGCGGAGTTCACGGGCGCCGTCAACCTGACCAGCATCCGCGAGTCAGACAAGGGCTGGTACGAATGCCGGGTGCACTTCCCCAACCGGACGCCCAGCACCCGGCTCAACGGCACCTGGTTCTACCTCGACGTGGACGGTACGTACGCACCTCATAATGGGGCTGTTTAGAAAACACGTAGACTTTAGGGAAGGGTCCAAATAATATGAGGTCACCAAAAGGATCAGGGCAGTCATTGGAGTCCATGGAGCCCCCCATAACATTTGGACCACGGGGTACAAAATATCACGGAGATCCAGTGGACTCCAATTCAATTGGCCGGCCGGATCCTTTCGGGACCCATAATATTTGATCCCCCCCTCTAAAGTCTAAGTGGTTTCTGAACAGCCCACTAGAACTTTCAGTGTTTGCAATAAAGGAATGCGTCTTGGCGAACCACGACTATCGACAGTATTCAGCTGGCAGCGAGTCCTTTTGTCCCGCTTGCAGGCGGCACGCTGCTGGCCACGCCGCCCATCAACAAGACGACCCTGGAGGGCGAGACGGCGCACTTCTCGTGCATCACCAAGAACCGCGCGCACCGCGTCACGTGGTACAAGGACGGCGTGCCCATCCCTGACATCGTGGAGCTGCGCCAGCGCTCCTTCGTGTCGCCCGACGGCTCGCTGACCATCGCGCCCACGGCCATGGGCGACCCCGGCGAGTACATGTGCGAGGTGACGGACGGCACCACCCGGCAGCAGGCCTCGGCGCACCTCGACGTCCAGTGTGAGCACGTCTACTGTTTCATGCGAGGGGTATTTCACTTTCAAAAACAAAAAAAAAAATAGTCAGGGGAAAAAATCGAGGAAAAATCAACAGAAAAAGTAAATTTTAAAATTTAATAAAAATAATTTAGAAAAAGGTAAAATGTGTGTGGGCTGCTTGAATTCATGGTGAAGTAGACCACTTGGTTTGATGCGTTAGTGTAACAACTCTTCACGGGTTGTCAATTTTTGACTAGAATGTACGAAAAATGGCACCCTCGTTTCAATCCGCACCCCTCTGCAGACAAAGCCAAGGTGATGTACTCGCCCCGGGAGGTGCAGCTGCCGTTCGGCCGCTCCGCGACGCTGGACTGCCACTTCCGCGCCAACCCCCCGCTCACGAGCCTGCGCTGGGAGAAGGACGGCTTCCTCTTCGACCCCTACAACGTGCAGGGCGTGTTCTACCGCCGCAACGGCTCCCTCTTCTTCAGCAAGGTGGGGACGTTTCAGCTGTTTAAAGCTGTTGCTTAATGAGTATGATCATGACGTTATCGGGGAGTCGGAATTTGAATAAAGCGTGTGGCCTTGTCGTCGTGGTGGGTCTGCCCAGGTCGACGAGATCCACCGCGGCCGCTACACGTGCACGCCGTTCAACGACCTCGGCACGGAGGGCCCGTCGCCCATCATCGACGTGCGGGTGCAGCGGCCGCCCGTCTTCACCATCACCCCCCACAACATGTACCTGCGGCGGTCGGGTGACTCCGTGGCCATGCCGTGCGACGCCGTCAACGGCGGCGACGTCGAGCGGCCGCTCATCGTGTGGTTCAAGGTGAGGTGCGCGGCGGCGGGGCGCCTGCAGCACCTGGAGTAGGCAGACCCGCCCGCCTCGCGCGTCCGGCGGGCTGCCTACCTGCGATTGGCAGGCGCCCGTCCGCCCGCCCGGCAGCGGCCACGACGAGAGGGGTAGCCCAGTGGCGTACCATGAAGTGTGAGAAAGGTGGTTTCGAATTCCTCCGCCGCTCTCTTTCTCTCTCGCTCTCGGACAGAGAGGGACCCTCTTCTGGTCCTTATCCACGGCCAACTGCAGCACGGTGTAGTTCTACGCGATCGCAACTCTTGATTTGCGTCGTTTGCGTCCCTCAATTGGCTTGGAGCAATTTAAAGGTTATGGCCGTTACTTCCCCGTGGAGTGGAGTTTATCGTCGAGGCTTGGTGGGCCGGACCACGGCCTAGCTGGGTGCCTCGATGGGCCCTATGACGCGCCCAGGCGCTCAGCAGCCGACTCGGACCGACCCATGGCTCGACATGACATTTGTTCTATTTTAAACTTTCCATTCACACTCATCCGCTAATTTTGTCAATCTACAGAAAGACGGTACGCCACTGCCCCGCTCTCGGATCACGATGGAGGGAGGCAACCTGACTCTGGTGGACATCGTCGACGAGGACCGCGGGATGTACCAAGTGAGTTTGAGTCGAGATGAAAATGTTTGACATGCGGCCGCAGGCCGCGCGCAGAGATGTGCCGAGGTGTGCCAGGCACACTCTGCCACCCGTGCTTGCCAATGAAATGTGTCGGTGTGCCCTCACCTCAGTGTGTGGCGAGCAATGGCGCCGCCACCATCTCGGTGGAGACGGAGCTCGTCCTCGAGAACACGGCCCCGCGGCCGCCGTACAACTTGCGCGCCGTGTCCTCCACCACCTCCGTCACCCTCACCTGGCTGCCCGGCGTGGAGCGGCCGCAGACGCAGCACTCTGTCTGGTGAGTCGCAGACTGTTTGGTTGGTGCATGAGAGAGGAAGGAAGAGACGACTGGCGAGAATGTGCAATACCACGACGCACAACCCAAAGTACGCAAGGAAGAGTGCAAGCAGATTACCTGGTGCGTAGTTGCCTGGTGCCTGGTACCTGTGATGCGTAGTGCGTTGATTGCGAGTCACATTTTATCTTTCTCACCTTAAATAAATTTGTACCCGCGCGTCAGAATGTCTCACGACAGAAGGCACAACGTATTGCGCGGAATGATCAGATGATGACCCGCTTGACTGCCTGCTGCGCGCTAGCCGCCCCCACCCTGCTCAGTGCATGTTAACCGTATACCGGCGCCGTTCTCTCTGTGTTTGAACACTCTAGGTTTCGAATTTCGGACTCGCCGCAGTGGCACGTTCTTCCCGACGCGACCGACCTGGACCCAAGTGCCCCGTGAGTGACTCGCAGCCCAGCACCAGTCTCCACACGCGCCTGCTCGCTCTTTCTGTCTCTGTCTCTCTCTCTCCCCCACCCACCCCCGGCTCTATCCTGTGACCTAAGCTACATGCTCTCTGCCCTGGCCTGCCCCCTCTCATCTCCACCATTCGTGAAGCAATGCACGGTTCAGACCGACGACGACTGCCATTTACTCGATAAGTTCTACACTCAGAAAAAAAATTACATTTGCAGCTAAAACATTAGCTGTATGTGGACAGCTAATTTTCGGAGCTATACAGCAAAAAGTTAGCTGTACTACTAACACAATAGCTCTAGAGCAAACCGGTGGAGCTACCACGCTCACTTTTAGCTGCGTAGCTCCAAAAATTAGCTGTCCATGTATAGCAAATGTTTTAGCTGCCCATGTAATCTTTTTCTGAGTGTAGTTAAAAATCAGTCAATCATAGGCCTCGAAAAGCCACTAGAACACACCCAACAAATGACAATCGTGGCCAGTCGAAACCCTGCACAAAGGGTGTTGGGCGCTCAGCGTTGGCTGCTGCACGGGCTCGCACATGTCGTGGGTGACGCGACCGCCGCTGACCGCCTCGCGCACTCTGGTTGTCTGTCGCGCAGGTACCGGCAGGCCGACACGCCAGAGTGGCGCACGCTGCGCGTCGGGGACGCCGAGTCCACGGAGGCCCTGGTGTCCGGGCTGAAGGCCGCCAGGGAGTACGAGTTCATGGTGTTGAGCCAGGACGAGCACGGCGACGGCATGTTCAGCAAGGCGATCCGCGTCAAGACGGCGGGCACCAGCACCGTGGAGGAGGTGCAGCACGAGATCCGGGAGGCGATCGGTGAGTCAGAAGCACGGGGGCCTACCGCGGTCTGACAGCTGATGCTGACGGTTACTGGCCGCTGCTGACCACTCGTCCCGCGCAGGCTCGTTCCAGCAGATCGGGCCGCCGCGCAACGTGACGGTGCGGGTGACCGGCGACGGCTTCCTGGTGGCGTGGGACCCCCCGGCCTTTGGCGTCGAGGACCTCAAGCACTACATGGTGCGGTGGGCCCGAGGAGCGCCCGACTCGGGGTACCTCCCCTCCGGGACCGACGTCACCAACGACCTCTCCTACGTCAGTGAGTATAACGCAACGCCCGCGGACTCCTGCTCCACTGACGCTACGTCGTTGGCCGCTAACGCTGGTACTTTGACGCTGCCGTGTGTTTCAGTACGGTACCTGGAGGAGGACCGCCTGTACACCATCTTCGTGCTGTCCGTCAACTCCAACGACATGGAGGTGACGTCGCACCCCGTGTCGCTGTACGTGCCGCCGTACCGCTCGCAGCGTGCCCTGTCGGTGGGGATGGCGGTGGGGCTGGCCCTCGTGGCCGTGGCCGTGGCCGCGGCCTGGTACCTCCGCGAGAAGCAGATCAAGCGCATGCAGCAGCAGCAGGACGACGAGGCCAGCAACCTGCCGAGCAGCAACGGCAAGGACAGCGGCAAGGGCTAAGCCCCGGCGCCCGCCCGAGTGGAGAACCAAAGTCAGATGCTCACTGCCTTCGTGGGTAGCCCTAGCGTGATATGAGGAGTCTTCCAGGAGTCAACTGCCACCAACATGTCAGATAGGCCTGTTGTCTGTCTGAGACTCCTTACTATGGGCCGGGGAGGTGGCTTATGGCATGGCGTGACCTTCCCTGCGGTGCCTTTTCGGAAAGGCCCTTGATCCCCTGAGCATAGCTCATTGCGGCCTCGAGACTCTGCTGAAACACGACAGTAGGTGTCGACCCTTCACTGCCTGTATCTCATTATCAAAGTTTTAAAGTCTCAGTAAGCATAATAAGCCCCCTAATCAGTATCTTAAGTGGTAATTAATAAATAATTTCCGTAGTAATTTTGTATACGTGCGTCCGTAGTTTACAGTTATTGTTTATTTAGGTTTTTTTCTGTTGTTTTGGTAAAATACACTTTTGCATTTATAGTTTGGGGAAACTGTGAGCAGTAGACTGTTTCAGAATTAGTATTTTATTTATTTCACAATAATCAATCCTTTTTCATTGGTTGATTTTAAAGGACTTGCTGAAAGTTGTGGAAAGAGCCATTAGCGAGTTTGTTGAGTGAATTAGTGAATGAAAAGTGGGCATGAGCAAAGAGTTCACAAAAATCAATACAAAAATAACGTGACATTTTTTGAACAAGTTAAATCGGCCCATTTGCTCAAAAAAATAAGCAAACCCACCCAAATGACTATTTTAACGCTCTAGTGGGCGAGAATATCACGACTCTCTCTCGTTTTTTGTGAACTCTTGGATCCCTCAAGCATGGATTATTTGCATTGAAACAAATCTGCGATTTTTTTTCGTGCATAATTCATGAAAAATGCTAAATTGTAACATCCTAGTTCGAATAAATTGCATTTTTGGAAGGAAAAAGAGCGAAATGGATTTTATTTCACCTTCACAGATAACTGAGTTGTTAATCACGTACCTTTAAAATCTCGCGGGAAAAATTGGTGATCGGTCGGCGATCGGTCGGATAAGTCTGTCTCTCTCACTCCGACCGATCGCCGACCGATCGCTCACCGACCCACCTTTCGGACAGAGCCACATACTTCTACAGCGTTTTTCTTTTCTTTTTCAAATGACCAAATGCCTGAGTGCACGCGTAATAAAGCCCAACCGCACGGCGGCATTATCCAACGAGTCCGTACCTCTAAATCCGCCATACCTACGCGAAATCTAATAGACTTTAGATGGTGCACTCTTCCTCCCTGAAGTCGGCTCATATTGCGATTGCGACTGTGAGTTGTTTTTGTTTTGTTTAGAGCGGTTATTCTGGTTATTCATCAGGTGGATGGTGTTTATCTGCCAGTTTGATGATTTTATTTAAAGTGGTGGACAATGGTAAGCTTGAATGCCTTTTACGTTTGAACATTTATTTCTTTATACGTTGTTGATATGATTGAAAATTTTATTCAGGGTTGTTGGCGACTTACATCGTCGGATCAGACTGACTATCCACCAAGACCTATGCGGCCTTCAAACACAGATATATTCTGCCTCTGTTTTGCTATTCTTTTCCATCTTGTCGATTTGGGCACCGACGTAAACGTAACCTATGATTATTTTTCCAAAGGCGAAAAATACTATGCGATAGTTACGATAGTGATAATTATAATACCATCCATTGTGACATCATGTGTCAGCTACAGAATGTACGTATATTTATAAGTGTCAAGTCAATAGATGACTTCATTGTGCTACTTCATGGCCTTGTCTTGATCATATGTTTTTGACACTTATAATAATATTTATGATACACTCTCCATCAGGTACAGTATGGATAGAGAATCAGAAATTTCTTATGTTTGGAACCGCAAAAGGAAGTTCCAGCTTTTAATGCTGTTCCTACAACTGGCACCAGTTCTTCGGTAAGTTTGTTTACTATTTTTTGAACTGTGTTTTTAAACGGGGTTTTACAATAGCAATGCAGGGAGTGTATCTTAAACGCCAGCGTTGTATTAACGCTGGGGAAGTGGTCAGAGCAGTGTGTGAGGGGGGATGACATAGGAGCTTCCAAGCATTCAGCTAGCTTTTAGCGTTGCCATTGTAAATCTACCTCACTGTGTAGTATTTGACTTCACATATTTTAGATCTATATTAATAAAGTCTTTGATAAACATATGCTATTGTCAATTTTGTTCCTGCTTCTGCTCTAGGTATATTGATTCCTTGAGATATGCCTGTAAATCAAGAAAAGCTGAAAAGAAACAGAACAAGAAAGATCAGGAGAAGTATTATAAGCTGATGCTGAAAGAAGATGCTGATGTAGCCTTGCTTAGAGTCTTTGAAAGTTTTTTAGAATCAGCTCCTCAGCAACTACTCCAACTCAGTTATTTATTGAAGCTCTACTACAAAAAAACAGAACATGAAGGTTTGCCCATTTTCTATAATGACAATATTTTATTCCGTTTTTCCAATATTAGAAGTAATTGGTTCTCATGCACTTGTTTGTTAGGTTTTCTGATGCCCATCCTTTCTGTGCTCACATCACTGGTGGGCATGGCTCTCTGTTTGATGACTTATCAAAAAACCATTCGTTATGTGCAAGAGGACAAGGATAATATTAACTGGAAAGGCTCTGTCTTCATTTTGATGTGGCATTTTTTTGTAACAGGTAAATTTATTATAACTTTCATTTTGCTGCAAACTGTCTTAGGGTTATAATCTAAAGAGCAATTTTTTACTGTTTCAGTTTCAAGAATATTAATGTTGAGTGCTATGGTGTACATATCATGGCTGTATGCACTGCTATCAATGATAGTCCATTGGCTGGTGATGTCAATTTCACTTGCTTTGCTGGAATCTCATGACTTTTGTTCAGAAACAAGCTCAATACGATTTCAGAAATTCACCGTATGTGAAGTCCTAACCAATTTTCTGTATTCTTCAGCTCTGGGCCTTGTCTTCATTTTTACTTATATTACCCCAAGTAAGAACTTTAGAAAGTCAATTGGTCTTTTACATGTACTATGCAACCTCTTCTCATTCAAACATTTTTTTTCCAGGTGAAGGTGGAACATTATTTAGATACACTAGCTTTTATCTCATTTGTCTATTAGAAAATATTGTAGGAGCAGTTATTTGGTATTATTATTTTGATGAAACATCTTGGTTTACCATCACAATGACTGTAATGTTTGTTGTACCATTTGTGCTTGGCTGCTTGTGTATGATTATTTATTATTGTAAATTTCATCCAAAGCAATATACACCACCTAGTATGATTCCCCAAAGAAGACAAGTCGTCAAAGCAGAAGGTACCCATCTTACAGAAACCCCTTCTCCGAAATTGCAGGTGGGACCAAGTACATCCCTTAATGGGACAATTACTTCTGAATTAGGCCAGGGTGATGATGCCTAGCTTGCAGAAACAGTATTGCAATGTTATGATTCTAGCTCAGCTCTCTATTTAAATTGATGGTATGCACCATTTGGGGTTGACAACTTGTCTCTTTTTAACAAGGTTTTTTCCCTAGTGATGTATGTGTATGATGTGTCAATGTGTTCAATTTACCTCAGTGTTGAAATTTTACTGTGATTTTGTAAGTAATTGTGTCTTAATTACTTTAGTTGAAATGAATTTTAATGCACTGTATGTGTTCAAGAGCACTGCCAAAAGAGTTCCTAATATTTACTCACTTGGAGTATGTAAGCCATAAGTTCTGGAAAGCGTCCAGAAGGTCCTCGAATTTCCCAAATATTTTTCTATTTCTTCAATGTAACTTTTTAAGAAAAAAAGGAATTAATAGAAAATGTTGTATTATTTATATTAATTGGAATTTCAAGAAATACAAAGGGCACACCCCGACTCTCCAACAGCGTAATCTGATAAATTGTTGTTTTAATAGAATAAGAGAGAGAACGGTAAATGCCTTGTTCCGACTTTCGAGTTCATTTTCTAGTTGGTTCCGATTTTAACTATGGGCTCCTATTACAATTAATGTTTGGATGCTTGGATTATTGGATCGTCTTTCATGGTGAGTACAATTTCCTATGGAGAGGGGATACAAGTTTGCTTAGTATGTCAGTATTTATTTTCATCAATGAAACTTAAATATTTGTGTTTGAATCACTGTACTGATTTACTTACTTTATTTAAATAGCTCAGGCTCAGGTGTGGGGGTAGGCATGTCCGGGATGTGCTCCTTTGGGATTCCCCGAATGTGTGTGGCTGTAGGCAGGGAGCAACTTGAGTCCTAGGACTCTAATACTTGGAGTTATTTCAATTCAGTCTGTCTATGTGATTGCAATAACTCATAGTTGTTGACACAACTTATTAGTGCTGTTAGTTGTCATAGGAGCCTATGATTAAAATAGGAACAGACCGTAAAATAAATAAATAAACCATAAATAAACCAATACTAATAAAAGACATAGTATTTTCTGAAGAAAATAGAGTTAAGTTTATTTGAGCTGAAACCTTCTGAATATTAGTTGAGCACATTTAATCACAAATTGGTAGGTAAGTATTGTTGATCACATTTCTCAAATATGAAACACATAAACATCCATCTTCTCTAGCAGAAGCTAAAATCCATAACAATCAGTAAACTATGCTATATAAATAGAGAATTCCTTTTCATTAAAATATTAACAAATACGAATTAATTACAGCCTGTTTTGAAAAATGCCCAAATTAAGGTGCCAAGCAAAAATGAGACAAAATGGCACCATTAACGTAGGACAAAATAAACATCAGGTATGGCATTGAGATTAATCAAGAACTTGTTTAAAAATACTGTTCATACATTCACTAAACAACTCCAAAGTGAACTATTTTGATTGCACCATTGCTTTCTTCTTCCTCTGATAAATCTGAAAAAGAAAAGGCACCAGTTAAAATGAGATGAATAAACACATTGTGCCTTCTGATTTCATGATAAAAGGAGTAGTACTACTTAACAATGAGATTTATCTCACCATGCACTGTGCTATTATAGTTCATGAAATACAGGTTTTCCGCTGCATTAGCTCCTTGAGTCTCATTGGCAACAGAAACTGAATTGAATTTTTTCTCAAAACTGCTCAGGCTAGAGGTGAGAGGTCTTCTGGAACCAGGTTGTAAAGCAGAGAGCTCTACAGTGCCTAATGAGTCTTCACCTCCTTGCAATTCATTTTTAAATCCGAGAAATTGGCTTGATAAATTTCCTGAACTGTTACTCTCCCCCTTCAACACGCCTGGGAAATGCATACGCGACACCGGCAGAGTTGGAGCAGGAGGTCCATATTTTATTGAAGATAGGTTTGTTCCAAGACTTCCTATTTTTGGATTGGTGGTAGATGGGACAGACACTTGGGGAAGGCTTTTTGTAAAATAATGATTGGGTGAAACCATTTCATGGTTATCTACTGTATTCCTCTTGAGAGAAAAACCAATCTGAGGAGAAAAGGGTACAATTGGAATCCCTATTGAGTTAGCAGAATGTACAAAGCTGTTATGGGATAACTGGTCAATTTTTTGAGAGTTAAAATTATGAGAATTTGAATTTTGTGGATGATTAGCGATTTTTGAGGAAACCAAAGGAGGATGCTGAATAGAAGACTGTAATTCCTCCTCTTCTTCTGGCAATGTGTGCAATCGATCCTGTAAATGAAATGTTTTTATATCAAAATATTGACAGTGCATTTGTTCCAAATGAAATAGAAAACAAAGAAACTTACAGGTAATGTAATTTGTGTGACTGTTTCACTGAACTTTACTTTTGGTTTTTCAATTTGAAATGCTACATTGGGTGAGGACTGAGAGGGAGATTGAAAACCAGCAGTGATGGGGTCTGGTACACGTTTAGTTGGTGGGTGTGTTTCTTTCACATTTTCTCTACTTGAATAAAGCCTACCACCCCAGACCCCTCTTGCCATAGGCCTGCTATGCTCAATGTTAAGATTGGGGTTGCTGCCTAAAATTGTTGACAAACTGCTACCATATGGGGAAAAAGAAGAAAAAACACAAAGTATGAATATTTTTTGAGTTACAGCTAGGCAGTTAATTATTTTGGACTGTAATCAAATTCTACATATAACTTACTTATCCACCAAAACTGGTAATGGAGGATTTGTGTGGGACAACTTCAGTTCATTGTCCAAAGCGGGAGGCACTACCTGTTTCACATTTTCAGAAGCTGATCTGGGGTAGTCAGCTTCTTGATCCTCAGAATCTGAAACCATACTGGTAGATTCTGAACACTCAGAGCAAGATGATCTTGAACATTCTACATATTAAAAATGAACAAGAAAAAATAAAATGAAAAGCATCCCAAGGATAAAAAAGATTTATCCTTGTAATTTGTCATTAAAATTGAAAATTAAAATTAGACGAAAGAAAAGAGGTAGTACATACTTGAATGTGATGATCCAGATGTGCTGCTGATGTATGAGTTAGTATCAAGCTCTTCTGCCTTTTTCAAGGCAGCATCTGCTATTTCTATTTTACCTGAGTGCTTTGCACTAAAATGAATATCCATAAATAGATCACAGTCCATCAAATCAATTGCCAGGCGAAAAGCTTTCTCAAATAGCTTGTACCTTTTTTTTAAAAAAAAAGGGGAGAAAAAGGGGTTGATTAGATAGACAGTAGAAGGCATCATTTCATACATGACGGCCACATCACATACCTCAGCAACTGATGAAAGAACCGTCTCGTTAGATCTCTGACTGGAGCTTTAAATTCATCGATGGTAGCTGGACACATTGGACGTATAGGCATGTGGAAACATCCCAAAACTGTTTGAATCAGAGCTGTCAAAAATTGAAATATAAAAAAATTAAAATAGTGGATAAAAAAATTACAAAATCGTTCTAAATGAAGAAATCAAAAATAGATTTATAAATTGTGTGTGTACCTTCATGATTTGGAGTCAAGGGCTGCTTAAAAAGATGATTGACAATTCTTTGCAATGAAGATAAGCAAGTACTGCCTGCAATGTCCCAGTTTAAAGTCAACAATAAATTGATTGCCTTCTCCACCTGATTTGACCATAAATATTGAGCTACTAGTGAGTCCACAGTAAATCCACCAGAGCCATGAATATCTCCAAATAAACCGCCGCCCCCAACAAAACGAAGGGCTGAAAGTGGTCCTCTACAAGTAAACAGAAAGAATTCTAGTTTTCAATTCGACTCTGTTTCATGTATTTAGCTAACAACATTTGTATTTATCTTCACCTTTCAAATAGAAGAAGCAAGAGGCAGTCTGACATGGCAAACTTCTCTCCATAAAAACTTGTTTCTGCCTTTTTATTCCATTTGATATTTTGAAGGGTTGGTTGAACTCTATAAAATTAGTGAAGCATGCATCAATGAAACACATACAAGAGGAAAATTGTCATGTATGCATAATTTAAAGTACATTTTGGAACAGAACAAACCGGAAGTAAGGAGTAATATCCAAAAGATTGCCAGGTGAGACATCTTCACTTAAGAGTTGCTGTTTCAGAACAGCAAGAGAAACATCTAGAATTTGTAACTGACAACGTTCGTTAGCTATGACAAAAAGGCCTCCATCTGGATGCCATGACACTACTGATGGGATCTGCAGGAATTTAAAAATAATGGGATCACATAATTTATAATGGCTGAATACTTATCACAAATTGAATAGAATACTGCTTTTAAATTGTAAGTACAATAATACATACAAAGGCAGCTTTCACAACGTGTGTTACTCCTAGAGCTTCATCATACAAAACAAGAGACCCATCTATGCAACCTAAAAGCAGTTTGTCCTGGAGTGGACTAAAGCTATGGCAGCAGACATGGGTGGGGAGTGCAATAGATGCTGCAGAGGATTTTTGCATGTTTCCTCTGGAGATTTGGTAAGAGCTACACTCCACTGTCACCTCACCCTACAAAATAAAATTATATACTATCAATAGAAAATAAAGTTACAATTAAGAAGGCAATTTCTTATTTATACTTACATTTCTCGATACTTTCTGCTCCACAGATCGAATAACATTAGAGTGAACTTGGCTGAACGAAACAGAGAGTAGCTCAAATTCTGACCGATGATGGCATAGTAGTTCTACCTTGAGACTGCAAAGATTATTATGAGAAATCATAGTCTTGTATATTAACAAAAGAAGAATATGTAACAACTTACCCACTAACACCATAAACAAGCACATTTGCTCTGTCTTCATCTTTTACAATGGGACTCCATGGATACACCTCATCATGAGAACTGTGCCACCACACTACAAACTAAAGCAAGCCATTGTCAATAGAGAATGTGTCAGTAATCAAAACAAAGTATATACAGATTTATGCACTCACCATGTCACCACTAACATTACAAGCTAGTTTTCTCTCAAGTCTGCGGCCTGCAGGTCCTGCTAATTCAATTATCTGTAAGCGTGGGTCAAGGCGACTAAATGATTTAGGAAAGCTGCGTTTTAAAGTTGGTTTTGAAAAGTAGACTATAGACAGCTGACCGTCATTATAAGAACAGATAATATGTGATTTGGTGAGAACAACTGTAAAAGACAACAAACTAGTTGTAAATATCTGGCAGCTATTACACAGCTTTGTTCACAAGATTATGTTTCAAAACTCACCATCAGCAACATATTCAGAAAGAAGCTTTCCCATCAGAAATTTATCAAATGTTATAGACAATGGGTCTCCAGTGAAGACATTAACAGCCACATTTACAAAGAGACCTGAACTAAACATCAACTGGAGAAGACTACAGTCCCTCCATTGACACAGAACAACACGTTGCTGTGACAAATGTTCCTAAGTAACAGAGAAAATAAGGGGTAAGATGTTTGAAATCTTTAGGGAAACTAAAGAAAATAAAAAAATCAACCTTTATGTCAAAACAAAAGCATACCTCCAACTCTTTCAAATTATCCTTCAATCGTAAGGGTCTTTTATTTTGTGGTACCCATAGATGACCTCGCTTCTCAGCATAAGACTTTTTACCCTCAAATGAGATTGTATCCTCATTGTTCTTTTTATCATAAAACCTATAAAGAAAAGAAGTGAAGAAGAGTTATGCTGAGTACTTTAGAGTATCATAAAGAGTATTGGCATGTGTGCCTCAGTAAATAGTGTATGTCAAAGTATTTAAAAATAAGTATTACCTGAATGCACCAAAATCTGAGTTTGAGATGCTTATATCATCACGAAGTGTCCAAAAATGGACTTCACTCAGCAGGGATAGCATGATCCCCCTATCTGTCATGGGCCACACGATGATTTAAGTGACACATTTCTATGGCACCTGTCACTTTTTACAGGTTATGGATAACAATAACAAATGCCAAAAAATGCCACACACTTGAGTTCTCCATAGCCAGGTGTTCAAAGAATAAAGAACCTTGACGGAAAGCTTACATTTTGAACAGTTTCCCCAAAATTTAGCATTATAACAGAAAACTATGAATGTTTGGGTTGGAGCAGGCCGAGTGCGTTTGGGTGTGTTGACACTTGTTGCCCACTCTCGTACGCATGCGCTGCGCTAGCGCCAGGTAGGTGGGGGCTTCCAAGGAGGGAAGTTTAAACTTGGGCATGGTTTAAGCCCAGCCTGTGTTATATCCCCCTCCTTTCTTTTACCTTCGATCAGCTCTTAAAACCGACCTGACCCGGAATGTAGGTGATATAGTCGGCCCACTATTACTTTACCGTTCGGAAAAGGTCACGTGATGGGCCCGAACGCCTTCTAAGCCATTCAGAAGCCTCGTCGGCGAAAAGCCGAACGGCAAAGTAATCGTGGGACGACTGTAATATAGGTGTCCCCTACATGGATGCGTTCTCTTGCCTGAAGGCCCCGCTGGGTAGGCCACCGTCTTCACTTAGCTGCTCGGCGGGTTGGCCTACGCAGCGCGTGGCAGGCGCTGTCATTGGCGGTGTCTCGTGAAACGCACATTTGTCCGGGGGGGGGGGGGGGGGGCACATGCGTAAAACAGTGCAACACCGCTTCCACGGCACAACGGAACTACTGCCTCGCTACAAAAAATGTACGTCTTCGGACCATGCTGCAGTGCGTGTACGTTGGGTTGCGCACCAACCAGGCGGGCACGGCACAGCCAGGACAGGAAGGTAAGCGGAAAGGAAAGACCGGAGCTCTCCTCACCCACAGCCTCCACACCTTTCCTCCACTTTCCAATAAAGTGATACCGGCCTCTGTATCAGCCAGCGTGTGCCGTGCGGAAAACTTGTTTTAGGCTGTAGCCGAGCTGTAGCCGAGCTGTAGCCGAGCTGTAGCCTGCCGGAGTCTACTGTGGGAACCGGAGGAACGAGACGACGGGCGGCTGTGTGAGCGCGGCCCTTCGCCATGCCTTCACTCCTCGAACCGTTTGGAGCAGTTTGTTCTCAAGCGAAACGAAACGGGGAGGAAGAGAGAGAGAG